GTGACTTGTGGCCACCTACGGCACGACAGAACCTACAAATTCAGTTTCAGTGGAGAACCACCCGACGAGTACATCTGTTTCGGTGGTTCGACATGCCTCTGAAACAAAATAGAACAGAGTCTTTTTGCTGAGAAAGAAACATGAAAAACAGAGTGTTCCACTCCTAACATAGTTAATCACATCTCCTGATTTCAGTGCCTTTTCATAATATATTTATCAAGAGAATCTTTCACTCCTTTCGAATCCATCGGATCGACACCTGGAGCTGCTCCTCAACCTGGCGGAGCGGGGACTCGTCATCTCTGAGGAGTCAAGGATCCGAAACCACACATCTGATGGAAGAGTCCGGTGTTCAAACTGGTGCTTTTCCCTTCAGACCAACGGGTGCTTCTTCGGGTCCCGTCGTTCGGACCACCACGGTCCGGCCGGTGCCGGACGGCGGTGTGTCCGCCTCGCGCGCATCACCGTCGTCCGTCACTCCAGCGGCGACAGCGGCATCCCGAAGCTCCTGGAGCCGCAGGCTGAAGCGGTGATCCCCGATCGCCGGTGCTGGTGTTGGTGGGATGTATTTGTGAAGCACCAAAAAACCATGAGGCTGGGAGCCTTCTGCAAGCTTTTTCATCACTCAGCAAGGGAAACGACAGAAGATCTGAGTCTGCTTGGGCTGCTGGATTTCTAGATCTGTCCATGATGATAGCCCGCTTATCCACAGGATTGACTACTATTGCCTGGAGTCAAACAGTGGTGCCTCGACTTTGGGGTTGTTTGACACTGTGATCAACCTGTTGCAGGCCTTCTGTAATACACTACCCCTGCAAAGTCAATGGCACACGCCTCCATGTGAAGGCTCGATGAAGTCCCTCTTAGGGTCTGTGCTGCCTGTTCTGCAAAGCTTGTCATGTAGTGCCACACGGATTCATGATATCTTTGCTGGCGCATTCAATTCCAGCATCTTTCAATCACATCCGTCTAAAAGGGAAACTGGCTGTGATCAGAACAGAGTACTAAATTGAACGAAAATAAATATGACCTTGGATCAGTCGAGCCCAATCAATAAAGGGCCACAGTCTCGCATGAAACCACATCAGTCCCTCAGTCCATCCCTCCTCCAAAGTGCTCCGCGCCGCAGCACTCAGCCCCGGCAGCAGCGTGTCGCAGAGCCCGCGGCTGAGCGCCCAGCGGCGCTCGTGCCTGTGGAGGTGCGAGTTTTGTGTTGTCCCACTTTTGGACATGGAACATTGGTACGCTCTTGTTCCTAGTAGTAAGGATGCTCCTAGTAGTACGGCCAGGAGCCCCTAGTAGCGTCTTTGCTCCTAGTAGCGATGCCCTTTGCTCCTAGTAGCGTCCCTGAAATAATCATGGAGTTCACCAGCTTATAATTGTAGATCAGATGTTCTACCGGAAAAAAATGGTTCTCCGAGCTCAAGGCCTGCCGTCCACTTCCACCATTCTCCGCATGTCAACTATCAGTTGCCTGTACCGGCTGGTGACTTCCAAGGAAAATCTCAGGTAAGGTGGAAAAGAACATGCATCAACTTAGTGTCCCAAGGCTTGGAGGCCTAGTCATAGCATGTCATAGCCAGCAACGCTGGACCCCCCACGTCGCGCTCGAACACCGCCCATCCGCCCTCCTCTGCTACCCACCTCACTGCTGCCACGCGACTCCCGTGCGTCCGCGGTGCGTTGCTCCGCGGTGCGTGGATCCGGTTCCCGACACCTCAGATCTCCACGGCCGAAACAGGTCACAAGGGGTCGAAAGGTGTCAACCGGTCGGTGTCGCCATCCAATCGGTACAGGGGACGGCGCAAATGCCATTTTCTCTCTTGTTCTTTCGGGCAGAAGCCAGTTGCTGGGAGACCTGTGCAGCAGTTGCTGGCATCTGCTACGAAAACGGTTCTTTCGGCAACTTTGTTGTCGCCCGAGCCTGAGGCAACCTGCGGAACTCATCGCAACGAGCAACCTGCGTAAGGCCAAACAAGGGGTCTGCAGGCCCAACCCTGCGAACAGCTCAGGGGTTGGTGATCTTCAATGGAACGGTACAGCCAACTCGAGCTCGAAAACTCGATCTGGAGCACATGGAACTACAGAACAAGTATAATAGATATTCGACTTGATCAACCCAACCGCTGATGGGTCTTTGAGTGGTGATGAACGGTGATGTGCGATTGGGTTGATAATCACTGATGGTTTTGTCGTTTTGCTGAAGTTCATGGTGTCCTCCACAGAGCTGCTCACACTGCCTAAGGCCTAGGGAGCTTTGTTGAAACATGTCAGAACCAAAAAGATACATCGACAAACAGCAGCGACAGCTTAATGCTTCTTTTGGGAGACCAAGAGAGACAAAGCAGAATCAGCATCCAGAAGAGCCATGTGGTGGAGACAAAAGGAGAACACAGAGCCAAAGAGCCAGAAATCATCTTGGCCCAGGATCGTGTCTATGCAAGAAATGAGAACCCCTCACAGCAAAGCTGTTTGGGGAGAAAAGAATCACCCACCCCAGCTTCATCACAGCATTACAAGAGGGGCATTGTTTTCCTGGTGAGAAATCATTACAGTATTATCTAGTCTCCACCCACAAAAAAAAATGTTGAGGATTGTTGAGGCTATTCTTCTCATCCACTGTCATAAAACCCTCGATCCACCCTACCAACAACAGTCCAACCAGAGTTTCACTTCTTCCCATGCTCTCCCCTCTCTCCATCTGCTCTCCGCACTCCAAAAAAACCTACGCCCCACTGCACCAGGCCACAGCTCTGCAGCGATCTCTCCCCAGCTGGCACCCAGCTCTCGCCACAGCAGCAGCAGCTCGCGCCTCGGGCTGCACCGAAATCTGGATTCCCGCTCCCCGAGGACTCTTGAGGGTAGGACTTGGTTTGTGAATTGGTTGGGAGGTGATGATCGACCACCTGACAGGGTGCGCAGTTGCGCCCAAAAAGGGCTCCGTCGGACTGGTTGGTTTGATGGATTGCGATTTGGATTGTGAGGCTTCGCCCATTTCTCTTGCTGATTCTGGATTCTGTTGTTTGGGCAGAGAACCTCAGGAGGAAAAGTCCATGGAATTTCGCAAGGGTGTTCTTTTCATGCAGACGCCTGTGATCAGATGGACCACATACATCTCGGACAGAGAGAATGACCACATGCATCTCATTCTGAAGTCCAACATGCAAAGGGTTTTTTGTTTTGTCTTCTTATTGTCCCTCCCTTCGTCCTTCAAGCCCTTCAAGCCCGAAGCGCCCGAGCTCCCGGACGAGCTCTGGCTCTCGGTCCGACCGTGGGAGTCCGAGACCTGCGCCTTGAAGAGCGTCACCAAGGCCTGCGAGTCCGGTGGAGGCGGCACCCAGTTGACCAAAATACGGAGAACGGGGGGGAGGAGATGTTGAGGGTGATCACCAAATTAACCTCTTTGGAGGTGCCTGCCTTTTTGGGGGGGGATTTGGTTGGGCCGATGAAAAAATTGACAACATGGTCAGGCGAGCAAAGCTATGCAACACTGTGATTTGTATGCCTGTGATGCCTGTGTGTGATGGGGCTAAGCCTCTGGTTGAGACTGGAGAGGCAAGCAAAGTTCGAAGAGGCAGACCTTCGAACGCCTGCTCGGCCAATGCTCGTTCTCTCGTTCGCTTCGTCGGGTCCAGATAGCCTTTCGAAGCAACCGGAAATCCCACGGGTAAGGTCGAGGATCGTACTCTCATCGCTTTTCTTTATGCATAGGATGCACATGTGACCATGTGTGTGTGTGTGTGTTTCTGTTGCAAAGGGAGACCCATCAGCCCCAAACCAATGAGTTTTAATCTATTGCCCTTTTCCCCAAAGGTTTCCTATTTCCATGCAGAAAAATGTGGCGTGGAACAAGATCCCAATAGCACGATCACCAGGTACTGCACCCCACTGCCCAGCGCACCACCTGCGAGCCCAATTCGACCCTACAACAAGGGCTTCAGCAAGAGTCAATCCATTGAATCCCTGACACCCTATCTCGAATCATAGGTATACGGTATATGATGATACATATATGTATATATATAATTTGTGAATACTGTGTTTGTTCACCAGGTGGCATAGACTGAACCGCCACGCAAGATGCGACTAAGCCAGCCTCTACCTGGCCGCACTGCCTCGCGCGGCTCAAGGCTAAGGCTTCGGTGGCCGCCTGTAGGGCCTGTCGAAAGTGATGGCTAGAGCGGAGACTTCATCTAGAAGTGGGTCAAAATCCCCGGTGTCCTAAAAACACGCAAATAGTGTGTAATAGTACAGTATGTAATAGCGACCAGTTTCATGGAAATTCCCCAGCAAAAAAACAAGTTGTGCATGGTCTTGAGTGAATACCTGAGTACCTAAGATCGAAGTGTTGCGAAGTGACAGCTTTGGCAGTCGAAGCAAACAGGAGAAACCACCGAATCCGCCCGAGATTTGCCATCTACGGCACTCCATCCACGTGAGCAAACTACACATGCAAACGGCAAACAGCCGAAATCCTAGAAGATGCATGCCATCTGGTGTGTCAACTCAACAGTCAATCCTCATGAACCAAAATGTAATGCCTGTAAGACCCTTGCCTTTTGAGGTCATCTGACATTTAAAAGAATAACGATCCAATCCCAAATCCTCTACCTCTTCTGCCTCTGCACCCCAAATGACCATTCAAGCGAGACACCTGGCGTTGATCCTCGACTCCCAAATGCGCTTCGGCAACCGCGCACAAGGCACTGACCTCACGTGGAGCGGAAGCGACTGCGCAGTCGACTCTTCGTGGGAATCCTGTCGACCGAGTCACCAGTATCACTCAGTCAGTCCGTGACGAACATGGGAGAGAAAAGCCTCCACACCGGTTGTGCAGTTTTTGGATCTTTTGGGGGAGGATTTTTGTTCAGGATCGTCATCAAATGTTACATGAAGTTACAAACATGAAGTTACCCAACGTGTTGGGTGTTCTGATGCGGTTCACTGTACTATCTGATTCGGAGCTCGGCCCAGCGAGCGACTTTAGCAAGCCTTAGGCCCTAGGCGTCATGCTCATGAGCGTCCGTCCCTTCTTTCTCGGACCAGAAATAACAACTGAAAGAAGTGTCCTCATCCATCACCAATCCGTCCATCGCTGGCTTCGTCCGTCCCGCCTCCCAGGCCGAGGTGGAACTGGACGCACTGCTTCGGCACCTCGAACGGCGAACGGCGCCGCGAGGGCCATGCTGTTCGGGAGACAAGCATGAAAGCGCGCCAGAAAAAAATATGTGTAACGATCCTAATCATTGTTGTCAGATCCAGGCACGTCAGTCTTGCTGCGCCAGACTCCA